TAAATTGATTAATAAATTAATGCACAAAATAAAACATTACAATTATACAGATATATTACAGATATATTTTGTATATCTGTTATTTAAAAAAAGTAGAGGAGATTGGAGGTAAAATTATTGGGAGAAGATTAATGATTATATTTTTAAAATAAAAACTTTTATGTCCTGCTTTCAATTATTGATACGCGAATTGATCATGCCATTCTATTATTTATTTTAATGATATCCGTGAGTATGAATATATAAAGATCTTGTACCAAATAAATAAATATTTTCGATTACTATTTCGATTATTTAATGGATTTAATAATGGATTCTTTTGTTTATAAATCAGATAATATTATTTAATAATATGTTGTAATAATAGCACAAATATTGTATCCGTCTAATACTCGTTCTTCCATAATAACTTTATTTACATACTTTTATACTATAATTATAATTATAATTATAGTATATAATTTAATATTAATTTATGATTATTTATTCAATAATAATTAATTTATCATACAATATTCTTGAAAAGAGCAACGTCTCTTTTTTGCTTCATGACCGATACATGATAATTTTTGATTTTGATGACAATCGATATTGTCATTTCCTGTGTTGCGGTTCATATTAGTCATAATGTTTCACACTAAGATAACTGTTGCGCTGATAACAATATAATAAATTATTATAATAATTAGTTAATAGAATATTTTTGCTTGCATTGCGCACGCATCCATAAAAGCTTGAAAGTTGAACCTACTTCTATTACAAATGTATAAATTGTTTCTATAATTTTAACATCTAAAGTTAAAGATCTAGGATCTAATTTCTATAATTCTATAAATTATACATTTTAGATTTTATATTTTTATACATTTTAGCATTTCTATAATTCTATAATTCATTTCATTTTAGATTTTTTTTTTTATATTTTAGCACTTATTCTAATATAAATATTGTCTATAAAATTGAATTCATTATAAATATATAAGAAATAAATATTATATCCGAATTGTGATTCTCAAATCATATGATAATTTCTGATAATTTCTATTTTTTGTTTCTTTAGAAGTAACTGTAATAATTATTTAATGTTATTGTATAATTTGTGTAATGATTTATATAATTATTAGATTATTATTATTATTAAATTAAATTAAATTAAATTATTTTTTAATAATTGAATAGATTATTATTAATAAACTATAATACTAATCAATTTACCAAATGCTTTTACCAAAGATAATGTAAACGATTGTTATATTATTTTTATTTTTGTTTAAAAAAGTTTTTGCTGATCTAAAACTTGAAAGATAACTGTTATTGATAACATTTTTTTTTATATTATTAGAAAATGAAATAACTCATTAAAAAGCTATTTCTTCAGTAACAACATATTCCAATGCAATAATAACTAATCCAATTAAGATCCAACTAAGATTAGTAATTCCGCTTCAAGTGACAAATAAGTGATTTCCTATAAAAAAATCTATTCCAATATATTACATATAAAGTTTAAAATATAACATAAAACTCAACATTAAAATAGTCAACAGTGAAAAGAATGTATTATTTTCCAAATATTTTTTATGTTTTCTCAAAATCGGAATTTTTAGTTTCTTCGAATTTTTATATTAAATAAAATTTTAGATATACATAAATGTATATACTATATAACACTAAAATATATAAGTATATATTGTGACATTTATGTTTTTAGTTTTTTAGTTTTTGAG